TGTCAAGGCACATAGGATGGGCACAGAGAAAGGCAGCCATGGCTGTGTTGTCCCCAGGATGCTGCCCAGAGACACCTTTCACAGGTAGAAATGATCCTCCAGCTGGAGATACCACCTCTTCGCACCAAGGAATTGGGGTGAGGACACCCATCAGCCAATTCACCTACACTGGGGAGATGTGTCAGCCCAGGAAAGGTTTATGCTCCCCATCTTGACATGCTTGATGATGGCACATAAGGCACCTATATGTGTATCAAAGAAAACCGAGACTCAGGAGGGATCAGAAGATTAAAACTTTCTCGTGGGGATGGACCCTGCTGTCCTCAGTAAGAGCCACCTTGCCAAACCCAACCCCAGACACCCTGAGGAAGATCAGCAGATAATTTTACTGGCAGCCCTCTCTTTGGAAGGTCTTGAACCCCCCTTGTTCTGGAAACCCTCACCTAAACCTTCACCTTAAGTCAAAATCAAGGCCAGGAACTCTGGTTAGGCAAAAGGTGGGCTCCACCAGAAGCTTTGCTTCAGGCCATGGTCAGGACCAAGGCAGTGGTCCTGAAACAAGGTCACTCCCTGGGGACCAGGAGGGACAGGCACCTTCTGCCACCCCCCCACCCCCTTGGACATGAACACAACACCAGCACCATGTGGGTGCAAGCAGAGGCTGCAACTCAAGCCAGGAGCAGGGGGTGATGCTCCACCAGGCATCTGGAGCAGGATCAACGTGATCCAGCCCCTCGGAGGGAAGTGATGCTCTGTCTTGCACACGTTTCCACTTGGAATGCAAGCAAAGAAAGCTCAGCATCGATGAGCTTTGGTGAATTAGCTGAGGAGCAGAACAGGGGCACACGGGCCAGGATCACCAGGATGCATCCAACCTGGATGAGCCATGCTCTGACATGGCCCAGCAGGAACAACCCACTGAGCTGCCCTCCCATAGCTGGGCAAGACAATGGGGTGACGGCGCATCCCTTGTGCCATCCCCCCTTTCCCAGAGACAACTTGGAGCCGGAGAGATTCCCAAAATGAGGGAACGCAGGCAGGAGGCAACAACCTTGCCTAAGACTGGTGGAAGATGAAGTAAGCACAACTGAAGCAATTAATCCCCCTGTAATCCCTGCTGGCTCTTAAGGGGTATAAAGAAACCAGTCCAAAAACCAGTTTGTCGTTGCACATGAAGACAAACCCCGGATGCAGTGACACTTTGGCAGCTGCCGTCCCCTGACCTCTGCATCATGCTGTGACACACAGCCACGTGGGTGCACACCTCTCAGGGATGCTCTGTGGGTCCAGAAGCATGAGTGGGTGAAAGCATCCCATTTTGAAAGCTAATTGCAAACAGAAGTGCCACTTTCCTTTTCCTGGAGGTCTCAAGCTGCTGGTGCTCGTCTTCCCCGAGCCACCATCCGGCCACCGTGGTCTCCTCTTACTCTGAATCACTCTCCGCAGGCTGTTTCCTTCCCCAGAGCCTAAAATTAAGCAAGAGGTGGTTGGCGAGGGCTGGGGACACCCCACTTCTTTGCCGTCAGGTGGGAAGGAGGTAACACAATTAGTAATTTCCAGCCCTGGGTAAACGAGCACTTGCCGCTTGCAAAAAGATTACTGCGAGTGACTTCATTTGCTTTGGAAACGGCTGAGTCATTTGTAATTACCGACAGGCACCAGCAGCACCAGCAGCAATCCCGGCCTGGAGGAGGATTAATGGGAGCGCCCGTGGCTGGAGGGCATCCTCCGGGAGCTTCCTGGGGCTTCGGCATGGACACGGAGCCTCATGGTCACCTCTCCCCCCAACCCACGGCCGTGTATGTGCCTTAGGAAAATCCTCCTCTCCTGCCACCTCCACTCAACCACTGCTGTCCCCACCACTGTCACCATTGATGCTCCTGTGCTGGTCCAGGTGGGGAGCATGGAGAGGGCTGGAGGGTCCTGGACTGGCCAGGGTTTGCAACGCAGTGAGTGTGACCTCATTCCATAGAATCATGGAATGGTTTGGGTGGGAAGGGACCTTAAGGACCATCCAGTGCCACCCCCTGCCTGGGCAGGGACACCTCCCACCACACCAGGTTCCTCCAAGCCCCCCCCAACCTGCCCTTGAACCCCTTCAGGGATGGGGCAGCCACAGCTTCTCTGCCCAACCTGGGCCAGGCTCTCACCACCCTCACACCAAACAAGTTCTTCCCCACAGCTCAGCTCCATCTCCCCTCTTTCGGTGTCAAACCCTTCCCCCTCCTCCTAGGGCTCCCCTCCCTGATCCAGAGTCCCTCCCCATCTCTCCTGGAGCCCCTTGAGGGACTGGAAGGGGCTCCAAGGTCTCCCCGGAGCCTTCTCTTCTCCAGGCTGAACCCCCCCATCTCTCTCAGCCCCCCCTCCCAGCATCTTCCCTAAAAGTGATGTCCCTAACACCAGTAGGGGTGGGCCTAAGAGTGATGTCCCTAACACCAGTAGGGGTGGGCAGGTCACCCAGGCAGGAGGCCAAGCCACCATCATCTGTCCCAGCTCATCCTCAGTAGAGAAACAGTAGGACCAGCTCAAGAAAGTGGAGGTGGTTGGTCATTGCCTGAGGGGTCTCCCCATCACATGAGGTGCTTGCTGGGGAAGAGCAATGGTCCTCTTCCAGCGATGTGGTGCTTGACAAACCTCCTCTGGTCTTTCCCACCACGGGGACTGGACCCAGCCACCTCCAGTGATGTGGTGCTTGACAAACCTCTTCTGGCCTTTCCTACAACGGGGACTGCACCCAGCCACCTCCAAACTGGGCTGCTCCCCTCCATCGCCCAGCTGGGGACGGGACCCTCAAGTCAACTCGCCACCAGATGGCACCACGGCCTTGTGGGGGACATGTTGGGTGGCTCATGTCCACCACCACCCCCAAACCAGGTGGTGTCCCCCATCACCCCCTTCCTCTGCCCCTCAGCCGGAGCTGCCGGCGCTGCCCGTGGGGTGAAGTGGGGCACGGGGTTGTTTGCACCGGGTATTGTTTTTGTTTGGGTTTCGCAGCGTCTGATAAGGCACCCTCCCTCCGCGTGTTTATATGCTGTTGGCAAATTAAATGATTAAGAACGGGTGTTTGCATTTCAGTGGAAACTATTAGACGGTAATGAGTCTGGCCGGGTCTCAGCAGCCTTTTGTGTCAACATCACCGCGGGCTCAGCCTTCGCCGGCCCGAGAGCGGCGGCGGTCACTCCTAATAATGTCAAGCAAGTGCTTTTAAATACAAAGGGCCTAGTTCTTTTATTCGCTTTGTTCTTTTTAGGGGTATTTAATTTACATAGCGATTCTTACCGAGGTCTTTGAATGGCGGAGCGACGGCAGCCGCTCGCTCATCGGCTTCGTGTCTCATTATGGGGAGTTATGGAAGGAGTAGCTAATGTGATCTGCTGCCTCGTTAAGAAATGGTAATGACGTAGGATTACTAAAATTAGCCCAAAAATAGTTCACCCTCCTCCCACCCCAGTACCAAGTGCAGTGCCCCCCCTGCCCCCAGCCCTCCACCTCCCACCAAGGTCCCGTGGGGCCATTTTCGCCCCCTCCTTTCCCCATCGCCCACACCTGAGTTGTTTCCATGAGGAGGATTTTTAGGGGGGGCCTGGGAGTGCGAGGCTGGATCCTTCATCCCCAAAAATGATCACAGCTGCTTCCCTGCGCCCCTGGGTTTCCTCCTCCTTCCTGTGCCCCTCCTGCCCTCCCTGCTTCCTCAATAAAAGCATTGAAATGGTGAGGTTTGGGTCAAAATTCCCTTTGCTAAAGGGGCTGGGGCACTGTAGCATGGATTATATATATATGTTTACACATATATATTTATAATACTGATATATAATATTGATATATAAAAATATATAATACCTATTAATTTTTTAAAAATTTATATATATATAAGGCGAAGAGCCCAGGTAAGGGCCCAGGGGCCCGTAGCTGGCCCCAAGGACAGCCCCATCCCTGGGCATGGCTGGGAGCGATGCTGTGCTGGGTGGTTTGTGGTGTGTGTCCATCATGGGCTGCTCCCACTCGTGGGGCCCACCAGCACCCACCATCCCAGTAGCACCAAACCACCAAGATCACAAGCTCAGACAAGACCAAAAACCATAGTTGGAGCAGAATTAATGTTATTTTGCAGAGCTGCCTGCCAGACACCCAGTGTCCTCCCCGGGCTTTTCTGGGTAGAGAATGCATTTCAGAAAGGGGGTGTCCCCAGGAGGAGATGCAGGAGGTGAGCGGGCAGGATGGAGGTGGGGACAGGGATCTGTCTAGGCTGATGGAATCCCCTGCACGGGCAGAGCTTGAAGGAGCATCACTGACCCTATGCCACATACATGTGTGTGGCCAGGCATGCACACACGTGTCAGGGCATGTGCTTGCACATGCTTTTTTTATGGTTGGACAAGATGGTCTTAAAGGTCCCTTCCAACCTAGGTGATTCTGTAATTCTTCTGTGATTCTGTGTACATGCACAGTCCCAGCATCCTGACATCTCCTTTGAGGTCTCTACCTTCCTCTAGCCCCATGTCCCACGTGGAGCCAGCCAGAGAGCATGGTGACCCATGGCATGTCCCCTGCACCCCATCCTGGCTGCACCCCCACTTCCCACAGCCTTTACCCAGTGGTTTTTCCAGCTCAGCAGCATCCAAGGAGGAGGCGAGAGGGCTCCGAGCTCCCCCTGTGCATCCCCCTGGGCCCAGCCGGGGGTCCCCATGTCCCTGACAGGAGCAGATAAGGGGGTGCTGGCAGCCCGGTGGTGGCCAGGGTGGGCAGTGCCAGGCTGGGGTGTCCCCCCCGTGCTGCTCCTCGAATCCAGCCCTCTGCATGGGGAGGGGGAGCGGAGGGTGGAGCCTCACATATTACCAGATCCAGGAGCTGTGACATTCATTCTGGCAGAGAGACGGAGCCCGTCGGTCTTGGGCAAGGCAGGGGGGGGACAGTCAGAGCTGGGTGGGCACAAGGAGTGGGTCAGGACCACCTGAGAGGGACTGAGCATCCTCCACGGGAAAAGGTCCCGGAGGGAGCTGGGAGCAGGACAGGGCTGGGAAGGAGCAGCAGAAGTGGGGTTCGGTGGAGCAGGGTCACCCCTGGGAGCCGGGGTGTTGATGTGGCCCCCCACCCAGAGGACCACGCAGGAGGAGCCAGGCTGTCCCCAGCCCCTCGGGGACTGACCCAGGACACCCGTGGACAAGGCAGCACAGGGTTGGCTCCAGCCATGGGGGGCCCGTGGCAGCCCCCCGGTGCCTGCACGCTGCTGGTCCTGCTGCTCATGCTCCCCATGCTCCAGGTAAGTGTCCCCAGGGAGGAGGGGACCGTGGAGGGGGGAGAGGGTGGGCAGCATGCGTGGTGGTCCCTTGCCTGTGACAGCCACTTTGGGGTCCAGCCAGCCCTGGGGAGCAGCATGGCTGTGGTCCTGGTCAGGGGTGAGGTCTCCCCCCAGCACGTCCCCATCACTGTCCCCATCCCTCCAGCTGCTTGACCCATGGGTGACACCAAGCTACAGCCCTGAGTGCTGCTGGCACTTCTGCTCCCACCCGGGTGCTTTCACAGCAGCTTCTGGGGAGGATATGGTGCAGGGAGGGAGGTGGGTGATGCTGGGACCCCACTGTGCCCCCCCCAGGCTGGGACAGGACTCGGGGTCTGGGAGGGGCAGCCAGCAAAGCTCCATTGGGGTTCAGCTCCAGGGGATACTCCAGGGAGGGTGACCCCTCTCTGCCCTGCCATGGGGACGGTCCCCTCCATCCTGACATGGGTCCTGGAGAAGGGGGGGGCTTCACTCACATCATCTTCAGTGTCTTGAAGGAGCCCCCAAACCCCAAGGGCCTGGGGGAGCATCTGCAGGGGAGAAGGTTGGGATGGGTGCAGGATGCAGGGGGCAAGGACCACACGTTGAGTGCTCCCCATCTCTGGGTGGCCCCATGGGCACTGGGTGCCCGCTGAAACAGGGGGGACACGGGGGGGTCGTGCTGCCGGAGCAATGCACGGTGAGTTTGACAGCTGTGAGGCAAAGCCAGCCCCAACTTGTCAAATTGCTTCGGCGGCAAATGCCGGGGGGTGGAGGGCTCTGACAAGAGAGGTTTTTGGCTTGGTGTTCCTCCACGAAGCCTTTGGGATTGCTCCCGGCGCTGGCTGGCTCCTCAAGCTCCTTAGCTGACATGGGGGGTCTGAATGATGGAAAGGAAAAGAAAATGAAAAGAAAGGGAAAGGGAGAAAAAGGAAGGAGGGAAGGGAAGGGAAGGGAGAGAAAAAAGAAAAAAGGAAGAAGAGAGAACAAAAGAAAGAAAGGGAGGAAGAAAGGGAGGAAGGAAGGAAGGAAGGAAGGAAGGAAGGAAGGAAGGAAGGAGAAAGAAAGAAGGAAGAAAGGAAAGAAAGGAAAGAAAGGAAAGAAAGTATCTAACCATTGGACTAATCTGAAGAAAAACTACCCATTTGAAAAGAAAGAAAGAAAGAAAGAAAGAAAGAAAGAAAGAAAGAAAGAAAGAAAGAAAGAAAGAAAGAAAGAAAGAAAGAAAGAAAGAAAGAAAGAAAGAAAGAAAGAAAGAAAGAAAGAAAGAAAGAAAGAAAGAAAGAAAGAAAGAAAGAAAGAAAGAAAGAAAGAAAGAAAGAAAGAAAGAAAGAAAGAAAGAAAGAAAGAAAGAAAGAAAGAAAGAAAGGAAGAAAGAAAGAAAGAAAGGAAGAAAGAAAGAAAGGAAGGAAGGAAGAAAGAAAGGAAGAAAGAAAGGAAGAAAGAAAGGAAGAAAGAAAGGAAGAAAGGAAGGAAGGAAGGGAGGGAGGGAGAAAGGGGAAAGGGCAGGGAACACAAGCAGGATCAGGACAGTGCCAGAGGCTTTGAGGACTTTACAAGGGAGGGAGGGAGAAAGGGGAAAGAGCAGGGAACACAAGCAGGATCAGGACAGTGCCAGAAGCTTTGAGGGCTTTACAAGGAGAGTGATGGCATCAGACCCCTTCCCAGATGGGGAAACTGAGGCACAGCAAGGAGCTGCCTGTCCTGAAGCAAGCTCCAAAGGGAGCACTGCACATTACCTGCTCCGCTGCTCCAGTAGTCATGCTGCGTTGCCATAAATAATAAAAACCAGCAGCTTAGTAGCTAAAAGGGGCTGCGGCACCTCTGGCCAGTCCAGATCCTTCCTCACTGCAATGTGCTTTCTCAGTGCTGTGCTCAGCAGCCATCACCAAAATGTATTTTGCAGATCTGGAATTTCCTTGTAAATCTTGTGCTCAGCAGGAAAAGGAAACCAAATCTCCTTGGGGAGGTGAAGGAGCCCCAGGGGATGGGGCACGATGTCCAGGACAGGGCAGGGGAAGGACGGGACTCAGCCAAGTGATGCTTTAACCTCCCAGATTTTCCTCCAATCCTTGGGTCCACTTGCCCACCCTCATCCCTCTCTTTCTCCAGCTTTTGTATCTCTGGCCTCACACCTGAAGCCATCAGCAACCCAATCCCATCTCCTTGGCCCAAAAGCCCTGCCCCAGGCAGTCCCCACCTCTGGATGCTGCAGCCCCGACTGCATCCCTCCATGGGGATGGGTGGATGGGAATGGGCATGGATGCTTGGGAACGGGCATGCAAAATTCAGCTTCAGTCTCCCGTCTTGTCAGCAGGAAGCTGAAGGGGCAAACCCCAAAAGTGGGAATTCCTGGATAGATTCTCTCGAGGCTGCACGATGGCCGGGACAGGGCAGGGGAAGGACGGGACTCAGCCAAATGATGCTTTAACCTCCCAGATTTTCCTCCAATCCTTGGGTCCACTTGCCCACCCTCATCCCTCTCTTTCTCCAGCTTTTGTATCTCTGGCCTCACACCTGAAGCCATCAGCAACCCAATCCCATCTCCTTGGCCCAAAAGCCCTGCCCCAGGCAGTCCCCATCTCTGGATGCTGCAGCCCCGACTGCATCCCTCCATGGGGATGGGTGGATGGGAATGGGCATGGATGCTTGGGAACGGGCATGCAAAATTCAGCTTCAGTCTCCCGTCTTGTCAGCAGGAAGCTGAAGGGGCAAACCCCAAAAGTGGGAATTCCTGGATAGATTCTCTCCCAGGGAGCCGAGCCACCACACGCCTTGCAATTTTGGGAGCTGTGGGGTCGGGGTGAACTCTTTGGTGTTTCAGCACTTCTGCTCAAAAAACCAAGAGCTTTAAGGGGGTCAGCGTGCCCCTTTTGCAGTATCTCCCCAAAGAGATGGGGAAAAGGAGAAAAGGAACTCCAACAGCCATTACCGATGCCTCTGATTAAAATCCACCGCCCTGAACGTGAGCAAAGCCCATGTGAGCAAAACCCAGCTGGCAAGGGATGGGTTAGACGTGCCCAAATAGGTGGGTGGTATTTTTCAAACCTCTAATTACATGGTTTCCTTGCTCAGGCTTCGAACGTGCTCGCCTCTGCCCTGCTGATGGGGTCGGCCCCTCCGTCTCTTCAAGCTCAGCTCCTCTGCGTTGGAGCTTGCGTCTTGGCGGAGCGGTGCCCTCAAGCATCACACGCTTTCAGAGGGAATTAGAAATAATTGCGGTGGTTCTTTATGGTGTTTACAAGGCAAACAGTAGAAAGCTAAGGAAATGTCAGGGTCCAAAAGCACTGTTACGTAGATAAGGCTCTCCTGGGGCTGGCTGCAACAGAAATAGTGAATATTGGCTGGTACCCCGCCTGCTCGGGTCTTTTAATGCCCGGCATCCCACTGTCTGCCCTTTCCTCCCTCCCAAGGTGAGAGCGACACATCCCGACTGCTCCGTCGTCCTCTATTTCCAAGAGCAAGAAGCTGAATGTCTGGAGATTATCAGGAGTGAAAGGGAAACGTCAGCCCCCCCGGGACCCCCCGGGCAACGAGGTGAGTGTGAGCTCAAGCTGCCCGCCGTGTACAGGGCTCATCTTCCTCGGGAGGAGGGGGGGATCTGCTAAGGGGGGTCTTTGGAGGATGATCCATGGAAGGGGGGGGGTGCAGAAGAGCAGGTATTTTCAGGAAAATGGAGAGCAACACTGAGGTGAAGGCTGAGGACAAGAGGGAACGGCCTCAAGTTACACCAGGGGAGGTTTAGGATGGAAATTAGGAAAAATTGCTTCGCAGAAAGGGTTAGAAGAGCAGTTATTTTCAGGAAAATGGAGAGCAGCACTGAGGTGAAGGCTGAGGACAAGAGGGAGCGGCCTCAAGTTACACCAGGGGAGGTTTAGGATGGAAATTAGGAAAAATTCCTTCACAGGAAGGGTTATCAAACACTGAGACAGGCTGCCCAGGGTAGTTGTGGGGTCACCATCCCTGGAGGGATTTAAAAAACGTGTAGATGTGGTGCTGAGGGACATGGGTTAGTGGTGGTTTGGGGAGTGTTGGGTTGATGGTTGGACTCGATGATCTGAAAGGTCCCTTCCAACCTGGACAATTCAAAACATCCCTGGAGAGCCCCGAAATTGCTGCTGCAAGGAGAGAGGGGAGCTGAGATTTCACCCAGGGAGCACAGGGGGGCTGAGGGATACAAATAACCACAAGGGCTGAGTCCCCCCAGATTTAAGGCATATGGCAATGGAACAATGGTGAGGTCTGTGCCCCAAAAAAAGCCTCCTGCCCCACTCCTGTCCCCCCTGCATGGATGCTCCGGGGCCAGGCAGGGCAATGCAGACTCTTGGCCATCACCATCACGGCACGTGTCACCACTTCATACCTTCCTAATTCAGTTACTTTTAATGCTAAACATGTTTTGAGCAACTTAATTTTTACATATCTGGGACTTTTAAACCAATCAACTAATTGAAAAACAGTTTTAAAGTGCTGTTTTCGTACTTTTTTTTTTTTTTTAATTACATTTCAATTTCCATCCAGAAGCAGCTTGGCTCAAATTCTGGGTAGAAATTATCACCCAGTGAATAAGAAATGCGTCATTCAATGGATTTCATCTAATACAAATGTAAAAATGAAACATCTCAATAAATGCATGTTAAGGTGCATAATTGCTTAAGTAACTGTGCAGAGATGTAACGTATCATCCAGCTTAGCGGAGAAAAGCCAAGTTGATTGGAAAAAGCCCATTTTGCAGCCCAGATCGTGCCAGCCAGGGGGAAGGAGTCTCACTGTAGGAAAATGAGCAAGAAGCATGAATGCATAATTAAAATCAGTATTTAATCCCAGGTTTCCTGCTTGCCTGCCGCCTCCGCTGCCCACCTGAACTGAATTTATCCCTTCCCCCTTGTTTCTTTGTGCCAGTGTAGGGAAGGGTCCCGCAGAGCGTGTGGCTCCAAGTGACAATGGAGGGGATGGCTCAGGTGCCCCGGACACGGTGGCAAATTAGCGTGAAGAAGCAGGACAGGGATCTCAGACCTCAGCATCCTGTTGGGGAACCCGCCGTGGGGCCCTAAAACTGGTCAGAGACTCCGTTTGTGATGCTTTCTCTTCAAAATCTGCTCCTCTCCTCGCAGCATTTTCTGCTCTGAAATAGTCAGGGAGAAGTAACCCGCTGGGGAGGCTGAAGAGATCACTTTTGGAGGTCTCCAGGTACCAGTCAGAGCAGTGAGAAATAGGGAGGTGGCCCGAGCAGGTCTGTGTATAGTTGACCAGTAGAAATCCTGAGCAGGAACTTCCCATCAAACTGCATTTTGAAGGGAAAAAAATGGTCTTTTCGGCCACGTGAAGGAGACCACCACAGGGATAATGTTGATCTCGGGTGTGTTTCAGCCCTTCGCTGGGAAAAACTGAAATAAAGGAGGGTGCTTTGGGTCAGTCCAAACCAAACACCTTGGGCTGCCAGGCCAGGCTGGCTGGGAACCCGGGGACAAGGGACAGTGAGAGGACATGGTGGCCGCTGGGGACCAACAACGCAGGGACACTGAGGGCACAGCTCCTGCCTGCAAGGTGGGCAATGAGACACGGTGCCAGGTCCTTTGCTCATGTTTTTTTTCACTCTGTTCCCCCCAGATGTTGCCTCCATCACCTCTTCTCCATGGGAGAGTTGTCCTCATTTTAGTGCCAGGTCCTTTGCTCATGTTTTTTCACTCTATTCCCCCCAGATGTTGCCTCCATCAGCTCTTCTCCATGGGAGAGTTGTCCTCATTTTGCATGCCACTAAGAAACGGGGTTTTTTTAGATACCACACCAGCCCAGGAGAGAGAAACAGAGCAGGAAGGGGGATTTCAACCTTTTCTCCCCATCCGAATGGAGGGGTGACTTTATTCCCCGGGAAGGCACTACAGAGCTGGGTGAATCCCAGCTCAATCCCTGTGCCATGGGTCCTCTGGCTCCCAACCAGGTGGTCCCACAGCACTCACCGTGCTGGAAGAGCTTGTTCATACGACGAGAGATGCATTTATAGAGAGGGATGGCTCTGCCGTACAGAGATTTTACTCAGACCCCAAGAAATGAAGCAACCGCTCTCAGCACCAGCCCCAGCAGCTCTCCTCAGTTCCCCTGTCCTCCAGAGCAGAAATTAAGACGTACCTTGACGTTGTAATGACAGCCCTGCAAATCCCTCCAAGCCTGGCCAGATACCTACAGACGGCTTTGCCGAAAATCAGAGAAAACCAATTAGACTTGTCTGAGTCCACATTCCCTGGCAGGGAATAGACGTGGCTGCAGGTTAATAATGTATATCCACAAGGTTAATAATGTACATGTGCGAGGAGGAGAGCTGTCCTGGAAGTGTGATGTCTGTGTCTCATCCCCTTGTGCTGCAGCACTAATTCTTCAAGGCCCCGCATCTGCTTGGCCGTGCTTGTTTCCAAGGCAATTGGAGAGTCATTTACAGAAGAACTTAGTGCTAGACAGAGAAGCAAAACATGTTTAAGTTAATTGCTCTCCAGCAAGTCCTGCGGTGCTTTCTCCTGTCCTCCTCCTCCGGGCTGGAGAGACGCCCCACGGCTGTTGGGGGCAGAAATCCAGCATAAAACTGCATTATTTGAGATGCCACCAGGAAAGTCCCAGCCCTTCCCACACCCTCATCTCCCGGGGTCTCCCCACAGCAGCTCCAGCTCTGACGTAGCCCCAAGAAATACCAGGTCCCACCTCGCCGTGGGGCTAAAAGGAGATGTCAGCGCCGGGGGAGGTCGTTCCCAGAACTGGAGCTGGGATGCTCCTAATTCCTGAGGGGGTACGGCATGGTCCCGTAGATCGGGTGACGGCTGGATGCTCTCTGCTCTCCTGTTACACCCCCGCAGACGTGCCCAGGCACCGGGGGGCTGTGTCTCTGCGTGTGTGTGTGTGTGTGTCCCCAGCACGTCCCTTCCCAGCGGCACCAACGGTCCCCTCCCTCCCCAGGCTGCCCGACCGAGTGGGATGGAGTGAGCTGCTGATCGGCCCTGCCCGTCGGACAGTCCCGAGCTGTCTCCTGCCCTGACATCCTCCACGTCTTCAAGAAGTCCAAAGGTGCGGTGCTCTGAATCCATCCCCCAGGACCGAGGGCTGAGCTGCACCCACCCCTGCCTCCCTGGGGTCCTTCTCCCACCCCAGACCTTCCCCCTTGGTCCCACAGCTCCTGCCCCCTCCACAAGATTGGCATATATTGCAATCCAAGCAGGGGGTGGGCAAAAGCAGGGTTCTGTCACACCAGGGGAGTCCCAAAACCATTTCATCACCCAGCACCAAGCATCCCCTGTGGGTAGAGCGCTTGGGAACCTCATCCTCCAACCAGGAGAGCCCCTGAGCTGTTCGGTGCCCTCCTTTCTCCATCCACACACCAGCCTAATGCTCTTGACATGCTTGGTACCACTCCAAGGCACACAGATGAAAAACGCAGTGTAAGATCATGATTATTTCAAGGCCGGGCACTCTACCAGGGCGGGTGCTGCCGGGGGAGCTGCTGCCTCCATCCATCTCGGGGGCAGTGGACTGTGAAGGAGAGCCCCCAACCAGCTCCCATGGCATCCGAGCCCTTCCTCAGCTGGGCAAAGGCAATGGAGGGTTGGTAAATACTTGCTTTAGGGCAGAAACAGCTCAGGAGAGGCTTGATGAAGCCCTCGCAGGATGAAAAAGCCCCCTTTTAGCCTTAATTCCCTCCCACTGTAAGGATTCATGCTTGCTTTCACATCCTGCCCTAAAATGCCCTGGCACCTCCAGGCACGGCCAGCTCAGGAGAGGCTTGATGAAGCCCTCGCAGGATGAAAAAGCCTCCGGGCACTCTACCAGGGCGGGTGCTGCCGGGGGAGCTGCTGCCTCCATCCATCTCGGGGGCAGTGGACTGTGAAGGAGAGCCCCCAACCAGCTCCCATGGCATCCGAGCCCTTCCTCAGCTGGGCAAAGGCAATGGAGGGTTGGTAAATACTTGCTTTAGGGCAGAAACAGCTCAGGAGAGGCTTGATGAAGCCCTCGCAGGATGAAAAAGCCTCCTTTTAGCCTTAATTCCCTCCCACCGTGAGGGTTCATGCTTGCTTTCACATCCTGCCCTAAAATGCCCTGGCACCTACAGGCACAGCACTGGAGGGCAGAGATGTGATCCGGGTGGGAGGGATGGGGCAGCACTCGGGTACCAGGCTGCTGTCACAGCCGGGATGCTGGTGCTGGGATCTGGGCTCCCTCCCTGAGAGCAGGGTGTCATCCCCAGACATTTTGGGGGTGAGGATGCCGAGGTGATGTCCATGGCTCTCCTGATGTCCCTTCAATGCCCTGGCACCTCCAGGCACGGCACGGGAGGGCAGAGATGTGATCCGGGTGGGAGGGATGGGGTACCAGGCTGCTGTCACAGCCGGGATGCTGGTGCTGGGATCTGGGCTCCCTCCCTGAGAGCAGGGTGTCATCCCCAGACATTTTGGGGGTGAGGATGCCGAGGTGATGTCCATGGCTCTCCTGATGTCCCTTCTTGTTGCCATAGCACTGATCTGGAGGAACTGCACCGAGTCGGGATGGAGCTTCCCCAGCCCTCCCTACTACAATGCCTGCGAGCTGGAGACCACTGGCAGCAACAATGACACTGAGGCCAAGGCAAGTGGGTTCCCCAGGGCCATGGGGCATCCTCCCTTGCATCACCCTACCCCAACCCCACGTTGGGCAATGAAACATGAAGATGAGTGGCTCTCCTGATGTCCCTTCTTGTCGCCGTAGCGCTGATCTGGAGGAACTGCACCGAGTCGGGATGGAGCTTCCCCAGCCCTCCCTACTACAATGCCTGTGAGCTGGAGAACACTGGCAGCAACAATGACACCGAGGCCAAGGCAAGTGGGTTCCCCAGGGCCATGGGGCATCCTCCCTTGCATCACCCTACCCCACGTTGGGCAATGAAACATGAAGATGAAGATGTATCCTTGGCTTCATCCTTCTTGCTGGGCTGCCTGGAGGGATCTGAGCTTGGCTGGGTGCAAGGGCTGGACCATCACCCTGCCCGTCGCAGACCACCCCCTCCCAGCCCATGCTGCCTCACTCCACTGGTGCTTTCCCTTCTAGAAAGGCTATTTTGTCACCATGAAGATTCTTTACACCTGTGGCTACTCCACGTCCCTGGCAGCCCTGTTCCTGGCCATCGGCATCTTCTCCTGCTTCAGGTAGGGCTCAGCGATGGCTGCCCTGTGGGTTGGAGGAAAGTGGTGTAAATCATGAGCATCATTGGATGCTCTCAGTCTCTCCCCTCACTGAGCAGTCAGGGTCCATCCCTGCCAACACAGATAACCAGGGAGGCATGAGACAAACAGCAACGTTGTCCTTTCCTGCTGAGACAAAGACTTTAAACCCTCAGGTTGCCCCTTCCAGCTTTGTTTTTGCAGACCTTGCTGTGCTGCGGAAGGATGCTCTCCGGAGGTGGCTGGAGGATGTGCCCCAGCACACCTCGTCTCCAGGCAGCAGCTCTGAGCACAACACAACCTTGTCCTTCATGATTTCAGAGCAGGAAAACCTTCTCCAGGGCTTTGTGCTGGACCACCACCAAGTTATGGTCCCCTGGGCTGGGGTCCAGCCAGGGAAGTGGCCCATCTGCTCTCCCTGCTCCTCCCTGGGCACAGCCCATCTCTGCCTCCCATAGGAAGCTTCATTGCACCAGGAACTCCATCCACATCCACTTCTTCACCTCCTTCATACTGCGTGGGGCTGCCGTGTTCATCAAGGACGCCGTCCTCTTCTCGGACGAGTCTGTTGACCACTGCACGATGTCAACGGTAAGACACCGAGTCCCAACCCAGACATGGTGCAGGAGCTGATCTGGAGGGGTCAGGGTGGGTTTCTAGTGGAGTTAGGACTGAAAAGAGGAGAGACAAAGAAGTTGTGAACCTGTGGAGGAAAGGTTGGCTTGGGTGGACTTCAGGAGGTTCACAACAGCATCTCTGCTTGAGCCCTGGCTGCAGCGAACATGTTCTACCCTCAAAGCTCTCCCTGGTCTCAGAGGATCTCCCAGCAGGGCTAAAGCTCAGCACAGCCCCATGTACATGCAAACTGAACTGGCACCTCTGGCTGTGCAGATCTGGGGGTGTCAACAGAAGCAGAAACCCCTGTGTGCAGCTCACATACAGTGCTGTGGACACCACAGACACAGGTTTCTAAAGGTCCTACGATAACAGGCCGTGGTCTTCTGCCCATGCTGCACAGGCAGAGCAGAAAATCCCTGGGGCTGCACCGAAAGGCCACCACAGGTCTCCTTGACCAGATGGACAGAGAGGCTGCCCATCCCCTGTGCCCCCAGGACATGGTCTGACATCAGCCCACACTCCTGAGCTGATCATGACTCCTCCTCATCCTCACAGGTGAACTGCAAAGCAGCCATCGCCTTCTTCCAGTACTCCGTCCTGGCCAACTTCTACTGGCTGCTGGTGGAGGGCATGTACCTGCAGACCCTGCTGCTGCTCACCTTCACCTCCGACAAGAGGTACATCTGGTGGTACATCCTCATCGGCTGGGGTGAGTGCGGGGTCCCCCAGCACACCCACCCCCCTCCAGTGAGGTCCCACTGACACAGACCAGGGTAGGCACCACTTTGTGGGATTGCCTGCTCTGAGGCCCACCTGGCCAGGGGTCCACAGGCACGATGGTCCCCATGGATGCTCACAGCATGGCCCCCCACCCCAGCATCTCTCTGTATAGCCTCATGCTTGCTCAGTCAGCATGGTCCTTGCCCTCGTGGCATGTGTGCAAAATCACTCAAAAACTCCTGCTAATGCCAACCAAAGAGACTTTGCAGCAGCACCTGCTGCCCACCCATCCTGAATGTGGTCAGGATGGGACAGAGACAGGTTCTTCCTTCTTCCCACATCCATCCAGGGCTGGAAACACCCATCCCGGGCACCCAGGTTAGATGTCAGAGCACAGAGAATGGCAGGTGGGTGGCCAGGAGGTGACACAAAACATCACCATCAGTGGGCACCATCTGCTTTTGAAACCTGGAAAAAGGGGAAAGGCTGCCACCTTCCTGCAACCTCCAGAGCCTCATACCTCACCTAGACACATGTTTTGGGGGATAAGGGATGGAGGGGAGGTACAGGGGCTCCCCAGAGGCCCAGGGTGACTCCACATCCCTGCCTGGGTCCTGTCCTTGCAGGCGTCCCCATGCTGACAGTCTGCGTCTGGGTGGTCACCAGGCTGCAGTACGACAACCATGGGTAAGATCAGCCACCACTCTTCTTTCTCCAGGCCAGCTTGGCCATACATCCCCCATGCAAGTTGTGGGGGATGAACCTCTTGCATGGGAGGCTCAGGAGGGGAGAAGTGGGGCAGCACTTTATTTTAAAGCTATTTCTATTTTCTGGTGGGGCCCACACTGCCTATTGCAAGAGGTGTACTGGGGCAACACTTTATTTTAAAGATATTTCTATTTTCTGGTGGGGCCCACGCTGCCTATTGCAAGAGGTGTTGTGCAAATGGGGCAGGGGGCTGGAAGGGGAGGGGGGGGAAAGTGGGTTGAGACCTGGGCTAAAAGGGTTGTAAGTGGGTGGCAGAGCCATTCTCCTCCCACAGGTGCTGGGATGACTACACCAGTCTGTACTGGTGGGTGATCAAGGCTCCCATCCTCCTGGCCATATTTGTGAGTAGGTCCCCTGGGCATCCCAACCCTAGAACTGGGGGTCCCATAGGGACAGGGGGACCCAACCAGGGGTCTGTGCAGAGCCTGAGACATGGATTCCCATGGCAGGTGAACTTCCTCATCTTCCTCAATGTCACCAGGATGTTAGCGCAGAAGATCCGGTCCCCGGACATCAGCAAAAACTACAAGCAGCAGTACATGTAAGGGCTAGCTCGGGCAAGACGGGGGTCCCCTCACCCCGGTTTCTGGGTGGACCCAGGGCAGCAGGGACCCTTCCCTGGAGGAGGACAGAGGAGGACCATCCTTGGAGCCTCCAAGATCTGCCTTTCATGGAAAACCCGTTTTGGGTTAAGACCAAGCTCTTGGGAAAGGCTTGTCTCACAGGGGTGCAGGACCATCAGCAGCACCCAGGCACCCTTCTCATGCCACCACTCTCCACAGGAGGCTGACAAAGTCCACGCTGTTCCTTATCCCTCTCTTTGGGGTGCACTACGTGGTGTTCGCGCTCTTCCCCGAGCACATCGGTGTGGACGCCCGGCTCTACTTCGAGCTGGTCCTTGGCTCCTACCAGGTACGGAATGGGAGAGATGGGGAGGCAAAATCCCCATGTACCCGTCCTGTCCCATCCCAAGATCACACCAGGGGACCCTGGGACACACTAAAGGGGCTTTGCACTCTTTTGGGAGGGGACGATGTCCCAGATGCCCTTCAAACACCAGGGACAAAGCACAAGGGTTGTGGGTTGTGAACTTGCACTGACCCCGTACACCTTCTGCCTGTGGGACAGGGTAAGAGGTGTGGGATGATGCTACATGCAGGCAGCAGATAAACACAGAGGTGTCCAATCCCTTTCCTTGAGTGACATTTGCTCTTTCTGTCCTTCCCAGGGGTTCCTGGTGGCTCTGCTCTACTGCTTCCTGAATGGAGAGGTGCGTGTCCCCCCCAACACCCACCTCCCAGGCACCACAGCCACACAGACACCCCCAAGGATGCACTCCAATGAGCACAACCATGGGGGTCCTCACCCTCTGGCACCCCAAATCCTTTGTCGAGCCCTGGGTGCAGCTCCTGCCCCTCCATCGGGTGCTTGCAGGTGCCCCTGGGTACCAGCACCCATCCATGGTGTCGCTTCAGGTTCAGGCTGAGATCAAGAGGAACTGGGGCAAGTGGCAGTCATCCATGGAGAGCAACGTCTTCAACCTGGCCACCCAAGACTTCACAGCGTGACGAGGATGGCGTCTGGGGGGAAGTACCTCCCCGAGGATGATGGTGGTGGTCCAGCTCCACGGCTACGGTCCCAGAAACACAATGAAAAGGATTTTGTAGGTTCTGGGTCTGGCATCCCCAGAGGGTGGTTGTGAATGGCTGTTGGGAAAGGCTCTGCCTACTCAGGTGCTAGTGGATCTCTTGGATCCCTGTGACGGTGTCTCGCCCTCCCAAAAGCTCTCTGGTCAGTGTTGGTCAGTGTTTTAGGCAAAGGGAAGAGAGCTCCTCCACCTCTTCTGCCCCAGGACTGGGCAGGAAACACAAATCCATTTCATAAAGGACATCTGGCATTTTCCATTTGGCACTGGAATGCAAACTGAAGGGATTTACTGCTGGTTGTTTTCCCCACCTTCCTTGGTTTACAAAATTGTTTCCCTTATGGAAAGATGCCCAGACACAACCCCCAGGAGCTGTTCTGGCAGTGGGAGAAGCAAATACAGAGACAGACAAGAGTCCACAGCTCCTTCGGTGAGACCCCCACAATGGTCTCATGCCACGGATCCTCCTCTGACATCCAAAACATTCCCCTTTCTCCCAATCCTGTTCCTTCAAGCTGCTCTTGGTGCCAGGGAGGACGGTCCATCACCCTTTCCATGCCATCTCAGAGATGCTCTGCAGCTCTCCCAGGGGCTTTGCACCGGAGGGACAGGATGGTTTGCAAGCAGTGGGGGTCACCTGTCATCACTGGGGACTTGTTGTCCTGGAATGAGGTTTTTGCCAATAAAATCTTGTTCTGAAATCCAGTATTGCTATTCAGAGGTCTGGTTTGCTCTACAAACTCAGGCTACAGACCCTTGGTACCAGGCTTGCTAGAGGGTGGAAACCCTACCGATATCTGTAATGCCTGGAAATAACCCCTGGGGTAGAAATATCTGCTTTTTCCCTGCCTGATGAAGCATCCAGGCTCTGGGCATGGCCACGGAGCAGAGATGGAGGAGGAAGGCAAGGAAGAGCAGAAGATGGGTGTATCATGGGCTGCCCCAGAGGTGCTGGGTCACCATGTCCCCTCCAGGTCGGCGTTGCCACCACCACACCACAGCCTGCCCCATTTGCCCCCATGAGCATCCTTCGCCCTCCCTGGGCTGAGCTCCTGCCTTGGCAAACGCTGCCTTCAGGAGTGAGAAAGGCCTCAAATGCCCTTTCCCCAAACCTCCTGGTCTCTCCCGTGTCCCCAAGACCCCGGCCACCTGATCTCAGCAGAGCTTCTCACAATTCCTGGGCTGTAATTTCTCCGTGTAGCCACATGTCCTTCCTTAAATAAAACCCACTTGGCTGGCTCCTTTCTAGACTTTGCAGGATCTCCAGAGATCCCAACCGATCTCACAAAGAGGCGTTGAGAGGGAAACAGAGCCCCAGACTTGATTTGAGGTGAGATGGGAAGATGCTTCATTTAAACAACCCCCCGGGCCAACAACATCCTGCGTTGTTGGCCAGGAAACCTCCAGAGGAGCATGACAGCTGTCAAATAAATGCCTGCCTGCAGCTGTGAAGAGTCCACAGGTGAAGAAATATCTCTCTCCATCATTAGCGAGGAAGATGCTGTTTTGGCAGGGATGGGAGGCAGACAGCAGCAGATTGAGCCAGGGCTGGATATGCTCGGTGGGAACATCACAGTTGCCACAAAGCTTTGAAAAGCACTGGGTTTTGAGTGTATTTTCAGCTGCAAATGGGCCTTTCTGGGTGCTACACCTGCCCCTCAGATGACCTGCTGGGCTTCGACCCCATGGCATCCACAGTGCATGGCAGAGCCTGGGAAGGCAGGGGTGCAGGGGGGGAATTGTGCCACCCCTGTGGGGACTGTGTGTCACCTTCAGTCTGCAGGAAAGGTTTTCAAAAGGGTTTGCTGCACCTCTAGCGTGGGCCACGTCCTACAGCTGCATATTTGGGGTGGCTGAGCCTAAGCAGAGCTGGGACAGGTCTTCCCAACCTCCCCTCTAGCATGATGTGCTGGATGCAGTGACACAGGACTAATGCCTCTTCTAATGCTGGGGAAAACTGCGCTTTCAGAAGACTCTAGTGTCTGAATTTGTGAAAATATTTCCTTTACAGCCAGCTCTGGGGGGCGGGTTTCAAGGTCTTGGTGTTTTCCAGCTCCCCAGGTGCAGGGATAAGGAGGAACGAGCCCCGGGCACTTGACCCGAGCTGCCAACAGGGTTATTTCATACCATGAACATCATTTTAAATAGAAATCAGAAAGTTTGCTGAGGAGTTCTCTCTCTCTCCCTTGATGGCTGCCATCCTGGGAACTCCTTGCCCCGGAGCCCTGAGCCCTTCCCTTCCTCCCGGAGCCACAGGGTCCCCCATGGGCTGTCCCTGCGAGGAGTGCACGGCCCCCTGTGACACAGTGGGATGAGTATAATCCTTGTATATCTTATATTAGTATCAGGATTAATACCAGTCCTTCGGTATTATTGTTAATTATTTAGTCTTACCCTATTAAATCTATTTATATTTCAACCCTTGTGTTTCCTTTCCCGGATTCCCCTTCCCAAGCGGCGAGGGGTCACTACGTCCCCATCACACCGCCCGCGGGCACCGACATCGGATCCAGGGTGTCATCCCTGGAGCTACACGGTGTCCCCGCACACACCGCCCGCCCGGGACACGGCGTGGAGGGACCCCAGCACATCCCCCAGGAGGGGGCTACCGGCCCCTGGCTCCCGCTGCCAGCACCCGATGACTCTGCCCAGGGCACTGAGAGCACCCAAGGAGTAAGGTAAGGGACCACCTCGCTTCGGGGGAGTGGGCACCCAGCCCCACACGCCTCCCAGGGCAAGAGCTGGGGCTCCCCCCCACAGGACCCCCTTCTGCAGCCCTGGCCAGGTGAGGGTTAATCAGGCACGGAGATGGGAATAAGGCTGAGGGCTGGGAGAGCTGTGCTTTTGCCTGTTGCTTCTTTCCCCGCCTGCATCCCCCTGCTCCTCTGGGGGCTGCCAGACCACCCTGCTTGGGTGCCCCCCATTCCTGTGCCGGCATCCGCTCCTTCATCCCTGCTCCAGGACCTGTGGCTCAGGGTCTCCACCCTGAAAATGCCCCTTCCCCATGCCCCGGCTCGCCGGCACAGCTTGTTTCCCCCCTGCTCTGCATGGCACAGAGACCAGCCACAGCTCAGCTCCACAGAGCCCCCATGGATGCAGCGGGTCCCCCCACAGCAGGGAGAGGGGCAGGATGCGCCCAGCACGGGCCCCTTCAAGGGAAGATGCCAACCAAGGCACCTCCAACACCCCAGTGTCCCTCAGGCTGTGCCAGGCATCACCCTTATCCCACCCTGTCACCCCAAGGACATTAATTTTGCTCCCAAATTAGTGATATGAGTACCCCCTCGTACCCCAAGCCCCCATTCCAGGTAGAATTTAGCTGGTTTTGGAGTAGAACTGTGCCCTTATGCCTGCCCGGTGCCCACCCTGGGGTGGCCCTGGCTTCCCAAAGGGCAGAAGCCCCATCCTGGGGTTTCCACCCGCACGTTCCTCACCCCAGGTTTGCTCTGGGCTACAGGCAAAGTGAAAAAAGACCAGCGGAGCTTGCACGGGCTTCAGAGTGGTGACAAGGCTGGGTTTGGGGCAGCTGGTGGGACCTGCTGAGCATCCCCTGAATTTCCTGCTGTGACCAAGGCAGCAAGTGGAAAGTCCCCACAGCCACAGCGGGAGGATGTCCCTGTCCCTGCCCTCCTGGTCAGCTGAAGCCACCAACCTCCACACACAGAGGGGATGCTCTTTGCCTGTGGGTACAGGCTGGTGCTTTGGTGCTGAGAGTGGGATGAGTATAATCCTTGTATATCTTATATTAGTATCAGGATTAATACCAGTCCTTCGGTATTATTGTTAATTATTTAGTCTTACCCTATTAAATCTATTTATATTTCAACCCTTGTGTTTCCTTTCCCGGATTCCCCTTCCCAAGCGGCGAGGGGTCATAAGGTGAGAGAATAATTGTATAAAACCACAATAAACTGTGCATTGCTCAAACCATAGCAGGGCCCAGGGTATCACAGCATCCTGGTTGTCCCCATCGCTTGCCCGAAAATGCCCCTTCCCCATGCCCCGGCTCGCCGGCACAGCTTGTTTCCCCCCTGCTCTGCATGGCACAGAGACCAGCCACAGCTCAGCTTTGCTTCTTTCCCCGCCTGCATCCCCCTGCTCCTCTGGGGGCTGCCAGACCACCCTGTTTGGGTGCCCCCCATTCCTGTGCCGGCGTCCGCTCCTTCATCCCTGCTCCAGGACCTGTGGCTCAGGGTCTCCACCCTGCAAATGCCCCTTCCCCGTGCCCTGGCTCGCAGCACAGCTTGTTTCTCCCCTGCTCTGCATGGCACAGAGACCAGCCACAGCTCAGCCCCACAGAGCCCCCATGGATGCAGCCAGTCCCCCCACAGCAGGGAGAGGGGCAGGATGCGCCCAGCACGGGCCCCTTCAAGGGAAGATGCCAACCAAGGCACCTCCAACACCCCAGTGTCCCTCAGGCTGTGCCAGGCATCACCCTTATCCCACCCTGTCACCCCAAGGACATTAATTTTGCTCCCAAATTAGTGATATGAGTACCCCCTCGTACCCCAAGCCCCCATTCCAGGTAGAATTTAGCTGGTTTTGGAGTAGAACTGTGCCCTTATGCCTGCCCGGTGCCCACCCTGGGGTGGCCCTGGCTTCCCAAAGGGCAGAAGCCCCATCCTGGGGTTTCCACCCGCACGTTCCTCACCCCAGGTTTGCTCTGGGCTACAGGCAAAGTGAAAAAAGACCAGAGGAGCTTGCACGGGCTTCAGAGTGGTGACAAGGCTGGGTTTGGGGCAGCTGGTGGGACCTGCTGAGCATCCCCTGAATTTCCTGCTGTGACCAAGGCAGCAAGTGGAAAGTCCCCACAGCCACAGCGGGAGGATGTCCCTGTCCCTGCCCTCCTGGTCAGCTGAAGCCACCAACCTCCACACACAGAGGGGATGCTCTTTGCCTGTGGGTACAGGCTGGTGCTTTGGTGCTGAGCTCCTGACAGGCTCCCAGCGCTCGTGCCCTGGGTGTAGCAACCTCCTGGGACCTCCTCAATCCCTCCTTCCCTTGGCTTTAGCTGCTCTGAGCCTGGCCTCTGAGCCACCAAAAAGAGCCCTGGGGTCAGTTTTTAATTAAAGAAAAAAGAAATCAAAGTAATGCTCCCCAAAGCACACCTTTGGCATCTCCTGCATGGAGCTAATCCTGCGTCCCACGCTGCACGACCTCTCCCCCGAGAGCTAAACCCGGTCCCCTGCGCTGCTGTGTTTACATGGTCTTGAACAGAAAAGGAAAAATATTGAGCGAAAAAGCAAAATCGAGCCAAGGAACTTCACTTCCCAGCTCCCTGGGAGCTCAGGTTTGCAGTCTTTGGTCCTGTTTTTATTGATGGCATGGGATGCCAGCGAGCACAAGGACCCCCCCAGGTGAGAGGCTGGAGGCAGGGGAGGGGGAATTGCCATGGGAACACGGGGGCGAGGGATACCAGGCTGGGGACAGCGGGTGCTTCAGCTCCAATAACGCCCATGCCAGCATGGGAAAGTGGCTACAGGGTATTTTGGGACAAGCAGCAGAAGAGTTACACAGAGCCAGCAGAGTTGGAGAGATGATGGGGAGGGACTCTTGATCCACGAGGGGAGCCCTAGGAGGAGGGGGAAGGGTCAGACAAGCAGCAGAAGAGTTGCACAGAGCCAGCAGGGTTGGAGAGATGATGGGGAGGGACTCTTGATCCACGAGGGGAGCCCTAGGAGGAGGGGGAAGGGTTTGACCCTGAAAGAGGGGAGATGGAGCTGAGCTGTGGGGAAGAACTTGTTTGGTGTGAGGGTGGTGAGAGCCTGGCCCAGGTTGGCCAGAGAAGCTGTGGCTGCCCCATCCCTGGAGGGGTTCAAGGGCAGGTTGGAGGGGGCTTGGAGCAACCTGGTGTGGTGGGAGGTGTCCCTGCCCAGGGCAGGGGGTGGCACTGGGGGGGCTTTGAGGTCCTTTCGAACTCAAACCATTCTGTGGTTCTATGACAAGTCCCCTCTGACCATGCTGAGTGCTGCGATGGTAGGTCCACCCCCAACACAGCCCTGAGAACCCCAAAAAGGGGTGACCCCAAGCTGAGCACACCTCAGCACCTAAATTTGGGTGTCCCCTGAGCGCCCTACAGACTTGTAGAACTACGTGGGCACACAAAGACGACCCAATGACCCTGTCGGAAAGGACAAGGAGGGGTACAACCATGCAGCAAGCCACCCTTTTGCACCATCCCATGAAACCCTGGTCTGGCTCAGGCCCACAGAGGTCTCCTCAGGCAGGGTGTGCCTCAAGGGACATGGGGTGTCAAAGCATCCTGGTATCAAAGCAGGGAGACCCCGCAGGGCTGTTGGCCATCCTGGCCATGGGATGCTCCTGGTGTGCAAAGAAACGTGGTGCTGGTGCAAAATTTGGCAGCGGTGGATTGTGGGAATAAGGGGAAGGAAGCAGAATGGACAGATGCCCCTCACTTGCAAGCAAGAGGAGGAGCTGTGGCCAGTGCTGGGTGCTGCAGGACCAAATAACACTCCCAAAGAGCCACTGACTCGACGTTGGCACCAGCTCCCCCACCGCCCCAGCCCTTGCAGTTGTCCCGCTGCTCTTTCCAACTTAATGTCACTTCTGGGAGAGATGGATGGGGAGGTGCTGGCTGGGGTCCCTTCCCGCCTCCCCTCCCACCTCCCCACCAGCCCATTGGGTGCCAAAGCCAGCCCTGAAGCCACCTCAACATCTGGGACACCCTGCTCCGCCACCGAGACCCACCCGGGTGGCCACGTCCCCCCAGCTGGGCATGCATGGCTGGGGCGGCCACGGTGCTGGGGGGGTGGTGGTCCATGTATGCAGGGACCCCCTCAGTGCTGGGCGATGTGGCCGCGGGGGGTTTGCAGGCGCCGCCAGCCCCATGATTGGCGCGGCGGGGGACGAATGCCACAGCTGAGACGGGGCCGAAGGCTACCTGAAGGACCCCGCATGTCCTCAGGTTTCACTCATGACCATCTGACAGCAGCAGCAGCTGCTCTGCCAACAGCCACTCGCTGAGCCAAAGCCTCCAGGAGTCGAAGGAGAGGGAAATTCTGGCCCTAAAAGGTCTCTCCTTGGGATTTCGCTCTCTCTACCCAACAGTAAGTAGAGGGTTCAGCCCTGGGTTGATGCCAGGGCACTGGGAAGGGTCTATAAGGGTCTTGGATGTCACGGGGGTTGTCATTCTCGCGGTGCTCAGCGCGGTGCAAGCGACATCGAGGGGTTCACAGTCCAAGTGCTGGAGGTGGATGGGGACAGGACAGCCCCTGTGGTCACTGGGGTGGTGTTTAGGGCTATAGGCACCCACCAGATCCCCCTGGGTGGAAAACAGCCATGGATGGAGGGAGAAAGTCCCTGCAAACATGCAGGCAGGGCACGGGGACGTGGGTGCCAGCAGCCACCGGGCCTTTGGTGGCCACAGACCTGCCACCAGGATGAGGGGGGACGGCTGGAGATGTGACAGGCCACCAGTTTCTGAGCCACCTTCCCACCCGGAGGAAGGGAGCTACAGGCAGGGCTTAAAAGTCGCCTTTCTCCTGGCTTCTCCTTCTGCAGATCTAAATATAAACCTCAGCTTGGCCAAGCCAAGGTTGCAGGAAAGGTCTGGGGGGTGCTTTGCAGTGTCTCCTTTCGGGAAGGCGCCTGTCCCCGCAGAGCTCTCTGTCCCCCGTGGGGCGGCGGGGAGGGACCCCCCCCGGGGACACTGGGGGGAGGTGGGACCCCTTTGCCATGCCAAAGGAGCGTTGACAGGGTGACAGGGAGGTGGGAGACCATCGTTCCCCCATCCTTACGTGGGGGCTGTGGGGTGCACAGGCAGAGCCAAGAGCTTTGGGGTGCAGGTGAGCCCAGTGTGGGGTGCAGGGCTCAGATCCCCCCATGGGCAGCGGAGAAACAGGCAGTTCCAGGGTGGGATTTGGGTCAGTTTTTGGGTGCTGGATTCTCCCCCACACACACCTCTGACCTGCGGTGGGTGCACGGGGCTCTGCAGAGCTCCCGTCACTCGCTGCACGTGCAGGGACCACTGTGCACCCACCCCCAAAGTGACATTTTGGGGTCTATCCAGAGGCAATCGGCCACCCTGGTCCCCAAATCCCCCACAACAGCAACTGTCCCTCTTGGCTGGATCCTGCTTTGCTGCCCCCTCGCCCCTTGAAGCCAGTGCTGAGTTGGCAAAATGAGATTTGAAGATAAACACCAGCATTTCCTCCCTTTTCCCGTGCCAGGGATCAGGCTGGGGGTGCAGAGAGCCCAACGTGGGGCAAAGGATTTATCAACAATTCCCTAAAATCCCATGGAGGGTGGGGGACACCCCAGTGGGTCCTGTCACCCAGGGGAGACCCTGCACATGCAGCTGATGGACTGATGCTGTGAGCGCCGGAGCTGCCTCCTCTAGTCCCTGCTAGGAAAACGCCTGACGTCACGACAGTTCAGGGGAAAAAAGGGCATATTTACGGGAATGGGTTAAAGAACGCGGAGTCCTGCCTTGATCTGGCTGTGCTAATATTTAAATAGCATTTTCTGCTTTCCGTTGTGTACATAAGGGTCCCCTGAGCACCAACCAGGGCAAAAGGGCCCCGTGGAGCAGCTCGGGCAGCTCCATCTTCACTCGGGGAAACTTGTTGGATTTAGGGGTAGGAGGAGGAGCGGCTGCCAGCAATGACGATACGCCGAACACCGTTTTCAGCAGGTTAGATTAATGAGGCCATTTATATGGAGGGGAGGAAGCAGGAGAAGGTGGTAGATCCTTTGGGAAGTTCTGAGGGCAAAGATCCCAGCCACAGCTCCGGAGATGCTGGGAAGGGTGCTCAGCCTCTGTGCCTGTCTGTCTGTCTGTTCAGCTCCCTCCTTCCCTGGTTATTTATACAGCTCTTGGGAATATCTCTGAGTCCCCCTCATCCAGATCCAAGTGGATCATTCAGATCCACTTGGATCATTTGAATGATCCACTTCCATCCCTGGAAGTGTTCAAGGTGAGGCTGGATGGGGTTTTGAGCGACCTGCTCTGGTGGGAGGTGTCCCTGCCCAGGGCAGGGGGGTTGGAACTCCATGATCTTTAAGGTCCCTTCCAACTCTAATCCTTCTATGATTCTATGATCTCTCAGGAGCTGGAAGGCAAGAGCGGAGATGCGGTGGTTAGAGCCTGGAGCTGGGCATGGGGTGGGCTGTGATGGCTGCAGGTGCCCCATGTGGGTCACAGGTTGCGTGATGTCTGGTTGGGGGTATTGGGGTACAGATGCTGTGATAGGAACATGGACATCCTCCAGCCCCAGGATGCTGCAGGTGCCCCGAAATTCCCAATCCTGCAGGAGCATGAGGTCCGGGACCTGCTCCCAGCGCTGCTCCTTGAGGATCCCTATGAGGAACCCTGTGGTGTCTCTCCCAGCATCCCTTGGAGGTGGCTGCATCACTGCCCCCCTACTCCCCCCGAGTTTGGGGTACCCCATGGGGGGGCAGCAGGTCACGCCGGCCCCATGCCATCCTCCCTTCCCCCACGCCGTCCCCTCTCAGCACCGGCTCAGATCTCTTCCCAGCCTGACATGAGAGCTGCTGGCAGGGAGGAGCGGGAGGTTGGATGACACCCGAGTGCAGGCAGTGGGCAGTGGGCAAGCGCAGGGTCCCTGCTTTAACCCTTCCCCGTCTGCCCGAGCCTCCACTGCAGCCAAATTCCCCCCAAAATAAACCCAAGCATCTATCCACCCCGGTGTCCCCTTTCCAGGAATCCCTTCCCAGGGGTCAGTAGGGACGGGGCTGGGGTGGAAAGGAGGTGGGGATGGGGCTGGTACCCCCCTCCCCCGGCATCCCCCGGCTCCAGGCAGGAGGGGGTTAGCGCGTTGCTGCAGGATGTTGCAACCTCCTATTTCCATCTGTGGCCCAGGAGAGTATCTGAGGACTTCTCAGCTTCCAGCCTATGTGTGCCACCCCCGCCTTAAGCACATCGAGGTACCCTTGGTAGGGGCTGCGGGCAAACGGGCGGTGGAGTGCCGGCATCTGAGTGAGTTCAGGTCAATAACAGTCAGGGAATTGTACAAAATTCATTTCCACGCTGCTTACGGCCCCGGTGGGAGGAGTGGAGGTACCTCTGCAGGGGATGGATTTGGGGGGGAGTTAGCAGTTTATGTGGTGAGGGGTGGTTGGTGCTGCTTTAGCATGTTCAGGGTTAAGGATCTGGCTCTCCAAAGGACCACAGTGATGGCCCAGGCTCAGCTGCAGGAGCTGGGGATGGGAACAGCACCTTGCATGGCCCGTGGTGGCTGGGACCCAGCTGAAGGTGCTGCTGCAACAGGCTGTGACACATGGGATTGGGCGTCACGTTCTTCTCCCCAGTGTAAATCCCCCGAGAAGGTGTCCTTGTCCCCAAGTTCATCGCAAAGCAGGTGGGTTGGCTGCCGCCAGGAAAAAGGCTGGAGAGCATTTGGAGACCTCCTCTTTGTCTACCCAAGAAAGGCAGAGTCCAGCAGGCAGAAAGCAGCGAAGCAGCATCATTCCCATAGCAGTGAACTCATTGAACATGTCCTTAAAATCCAGCATTTGTCCCATGCAACCCTACCAGCATCATTGGTGCTGTGGGTGACATACAGTGAGTCACTGTGGCTGGGCTGGACCAACCTGGGGAGACCAGGATGGCACCTGAAGAGCATGAAGTTGCTGCAGCATCTCAGTCCCCCTGGTCTGGCTGGGGAAAGGCAGCTGCCAACACTGGGCTTGCTCCAGCCTTGTTTTCCAAGGGCTTTCAACAGACCATCCCTTTTGCTCACCATTGGGCAAATCACAGAATCAGAAGATGAAGTTGCTGCAGCATCTCAGTCCCCCTGGTCTGGCTGGGGAAAGGCAGCTGCCAACACTGGGCTTGCTCCAGCCTTGTTTTCCAAGGGCTTTCAACAGACCATCCCTTTTGCTCACCATTGGGCAAATCACAGAATCAGAAAAGCATAGAATCACAGAATGGTTCAGGTTGGGAGGCACCTTAAAGCCCACCCAGTGCCACCCCCTGCCCTGGGCAGGGACACCTCCCACCACACCACGTTGCTCCAAGCCCCCTCCAACCTGCCCTTGAACCCCTCCAGGGATCTTTTCACCTCTTTAACTCTACCAGCTCCTTGGCTTTCAGCTCTCTCCAGGCATCACAGAATCATAGAAGCAAAAAATCACAGAATGGTTTGGGTGTGAAGGAACCTTAAAGTTTACCCAGTGCCACCCCCTGCCCTGGGCAGGGACACCTCCCACCACACCAGGTTGCTCCAAGCCCCCTCCAACCTGCCCTTGAACCCCTCCAGGGATGGGGCAGCCACAGCTTCTCTGGCCAACCTGGGCCAGGCTCTCACCACCCTCACACCAAACAAGTTCTTCCCCACAGCTCAGCTCCATCTCCCCTCTTTCAGTGTCAAACCCTTCCCCCTCCTCCTAGGGCTCCCCTCCCTGATGAAGGAGTACACAGGATGAAGGACTATAGCATAACTTCCCCCATGTCCCCGGGATGACGGATGCTGCTTGGAAGCATCCCGCATTCCTGCCGGTGCAGTTGCTTTGGACCACACTTCAGGCAAAGGAAGAAAAGACACTGAGAGGAGGGTAAAAGCCCACGGTGGTGACAGGGGGACGTGTCACTAAGAGGTGCCAGCAGTGTTGGCCAGGCGTGGTGGGCAAAAGGCTGGTGTCTGAGCCACACAGCCCATGGGACTTCCCAGCTGAGCACTTAAAAAACTCATTGATTCAAAAGGATAATGCTGGGAAATGAAGAATTAATTTTTTTCCTCATTCTTTAAGTCTTCCGAGCCCTCTGCTATCTGAAATTAGAGTGGGAAAAGGACTGGGGCGACTCGCTCTTAACTTTTTTACTGGTGTTACTTTCTTTTTGTGAACCTTCAATCTCAGCTCCCTTTAAAAAAGAGCCGCCTAAAACCAGAGGGAGTTTATGGTGGGCTCAGAACCGCTGCAGTGGTGGAGCTCCAGCGTCCCACGGCAGCGTCGTAGGAGATATTTGTTTGCAGAAGATGATTTTGGAAACTTCTCATGTCTTTCCAGATAGTCCTTGTAATGTAGTTACAGCAGAGCATTAAGGGACAACCATATATCTGGGGATAGTAAACATCAGACTCTTAAACAGCACATTATCATGTTACTGAAAGGGACATAAACTTGTTTATAAAATGGCTAATTTTGTCTGGCACAACTGAAGGGTGTTTATCCTAGTTACCACTAGAAACTCATATAATCTCAAAAACGCTAATGCAGCTCCAGGCCCTGCTCATTAAATCACTCGTGTGCATGACTTAAAGCTGCTCTCTCCACCCCCTGTGCTATTTGAGGGCAGAAAAAAACCGTTTCACATTAGATTTTTTTTCAATTTCCCCAATTTATATTTTTTTTTCGAAACTTGGGCAAAATACAGTAGGAAATAAACACCACGTAGGACTTTTTTCAAGGTGTGACATCCATAGGACCACACCAGAAGGTTTTTTTTCCCTCACCCATCAAGCTTTACGACAAAGCACCGTGTCACCCCGTGCACTCAAGCATCACAAGAGAAGCCAAATATCCTGGAGCTCAAACAAAACCCACGGCAGAGGATGGCATTGCCACCACAGCACAGGGGTGACATGGCCTCCTACCTTGCAGCCTGCACCCAGAAGGGTTTGGAGCTGTTTGGGGTCCCTTTGGATCCCTTGATGGTTATGGTGGCAGGATTTGGACCTTCACCTTCTCCTTTCCCCCATGGTCCCACCACTGGGCATGAGTCCTAGGGGTACAGAGGTGGGGAATGCAGAGGGGCTAACAGCTGTGGTATTTACCATGGAGTCACAGAATGGTCTGTACTGGAAGGGACCTTAAGGACCACCCAGTGCCACCCCCTGTCCTGGGCAGGGACACCTCCCACCACACCACGTTGCTCCAAGCCCCCTCCAACCTGCCCTTGAACCCCTCCAGGGATGGGGCAGCCACAGCTTCTCTGGCCAACCTGGGCCAGGCTCTCACCACCCTCACACCAAACAAGTTCTTCCCCACAGCTCAGCTCCATCTCCCCTCTTTCAGTGTCAAACCCTTCCCCCTCCTCCTAGGGCTCCCCTCCCTGATCCAGAGTCCCTCCCCATCTCTCCTGGAGCCCCTTGAGGGACTGGAAGGGGCTCCAAGGTCTCCCTGGAGCCTTCTCTTCTCCAGGCTGAACCCCCCCAACTCTCTCAGCCCCCCCTCCCAGCAGAGGGGCTCCAGCCCTCCCAGCATCTCCAGGGCCTCCTCTGGACAAAGAAGAGCTTTATAACCCCCTTAAAGCTCCCTGTCCTGCTTGGACATATAAATGTTGTCCTGACTGCTCTGAGTGTCCTGACCTTGTGCTGATTCTCCTGGCAGCAGGTCTCCCAGCCCATGTAGGTTTGGTTTCTAAATCCTACTTAACGCGTGCCCGGGTGGAGAGGGGACCTGCTGTGTGTTAGTGGGGGGGATTCATAGGGCACGTGGCAGGATTGTGAGAGGCAGAGCCATGGGTTCTCCTGGTCAAGCGAGGGGATGGGCAGCGTGGAGGACGGATGGTGTTTGTAGCAGCATTTGAGACACACGTTTGATGACCCGTCACTGAGCTGTGACTCATCCCCAAACCCTGCAGTCCCAGCTGGTCCCTATTGCACCATCCTGCCCCACCCTGGGTGTCCTCAGGGGGATAAATAACGGAGGGATGGGGAGGGTTGCCTTGTC